TTCCGATTTCTCCGCCATCGATCCAAAACATCGGTTGCTTGTTGCTCTGACTGAACCAGAAGTTTTAGGATTCTAGGACCGCATCCTCTATAATTTGGTAAGAGAGGTTTCCTGGTGAGCGATAGCGCCACAATATTATCCAAAGAAAGTGTTTCACGAGTGAACCACGACTGTTCTAAATCGTGCTTTCCGGTCTCTTGAACATCGTTGGAAGGATATTCTGGCACGGTATGTATGAAGATTGTGTTTAGTCGGTCTTGCTTGCTGTGTCCCTTTTTGGTGTTTCTTTTTGATTATCGCGCGCTCCAAGGGATATCAGAATAGATGCGGATCCCACAGGATCCCTGTTTTAGCGCGCTTGCGGAGAGCAAAACATTTTCTACGTCGGTGGAGAATTCTAAGGAGCGATTATTTATACACCAAAGTAGCGTCATTGTTTACGTGGCCTGGAACATGCTACTAAAAGTAACATGAAGCATAGAATTTCGACTCATGAGTGTTTCCTCGGATCATCGACCCAATCACTCGATATGCAAAACATACAAATATTTGTATCCGCTTTTTAAAATTTTATACGTAGCGAAGCTCGGGAGCAGTCAAAAGTAGCGGAGAGGAGGCTGCGCAGGCATACGCTTAATTTCATGCGTAATGCAAAGAGGGGATATGCTGCTCATATATTGTTTAGACCAATTTATGTCGATGTTTCTAGCGATCGTTTTGCATAAACCTCGTTAACACAATCAGGATAGTGGGGAGAGTCTGGAGAATTTCGGAATGTAGCATGTTTAACGCTCGTGTGTACTTGTAGTGGAAGTCGGTGCCACAGATTAGCATACCTCTCGCAGGCTGTGAGAGCAACAAGTAAACGCCATTACGGCTGGGGCAGGTGGTGGTTTTCCGTAGTTCGAAGGCAGTGCCCTCCGTGAAAATCTGCTTATTTATAATGTCGAATAGAAGAAGTGACATTCTTCAGCCGTCTCAGCTAAAGTGGCGACAAAGGTCACGGTAACTCGAGTTGACCAGAGCCCCGTGATCGGCTTGTAAATGATTGTTGGACATTTTCCAAAGCTGTTCTATCTTTCTTATCTGGCCGTAAATGATATCACTATATTTCGGAGTATGTCTTGAAATTATTTTGTACAACAAGACGTGTTTCCAGAAGGGAAAATGTTGTAGCCGGGTGGTTATCTGGCTTTTGCAATTTGGTAAAGTATATGTTCAGAAAAACTGAATGAGTTATAATACCTAATTCTCGAGTCCTGCACTTAATCAGAGGTTGGGGTCATGTTACCGGCCATCGTGCTAGCGCCTTCCTGGTTGCGACATTTGCAGAAAATTTCATTAGCAGACGTTTCCTAAAGAAATTCAGTGCGAGTACGTCTTCGTGAAGTTTCCCAGGCACTCTTGCAGTTGGTCTGGTTGAAATGAGTAGACCAGTTTGACGTCATCTGCAAACAGAAATGCGTGTCCGTGTTTAATAGGGTTGCATATGTTGTTTAAGTAGATTAAGAAAACTAATGGTCCCAGCACAGTTCCCTGAAAGACACCACTGGTTATTTGTTTTGTCGTATAGTATTGCTGACCTATTCTGACTTTTTGAGTTCAATCGTTTAAGTGTGAATCAAACCAGCTTAGCGGACGGTTTCTAATGCCACATTACTCTGGTACGGACAACAGTGGCCTGTATGGCATGCGGTCGAACGCCTTTTACATGTCCAAGTAGATTATGATGATTGCCATACCTCTGCCAATCCTAGTCGAAACATGGTCGAAGAATTGCAGCTGGCAGGTAATGCATGAGCGCTTTGAGAGAAAGCCATGTTGTGAGGGGTTGATCTGGTCCAGTCTTGTAAGAAATTGGACACTGTTTTTTGCCTAATCATTCTAGAACTTTAGAAGTAGCAGACATGTAGTTTCTCAGGCGTTTGATACTTCATTTCGCGATCACCTTTGTGCTTAGGCATTATGATGGATTTTTTCCACTGAGATGGGAAGTGGCCGGTAGTTAGCAAAAGAATGAAGATGTTTAGTACCAATAGATATTTTTCCTTGTGACAGCTGGAGAGATGCCATGTGGGCACGGATGGGTTGATGGTTTTATGGGCGCGATAGCGTTCTGCAGCTCTCTCAGCGTCACAGGAATATTGTAGAGTAGCTCGTTTGTACTTCTTGGGGGTGGTGGATGAGACAGCTGAGCGTCAAGAACAAAGGAGTACGCAAAACTGGGATTGATTGTCTCGCTTGTACGAGAGATGTCGCGAGTTAATCTATCACTGTCTAACTTCAGCATTTTAATTTCCTGATGTTTAAGTTTTCTCTTTTTAAATATCTGAATCAATGTGCTTACCTTTTCAGGATTTCCAATTGTCCTATTTTATTGATTTTAGCTGCCTGGACCAAACGTTGTATTTGTAGTAGAGCTTCATGTATCAGTGGTAATGTATCGATGCTGCTGTTCCTGCGATATAACGCTGCACCTGTTGGTTTGGGGGACTCAACAGTCATACCACAAAGTATATTATTGTGATCACAACCCGGTAGTGGATTATCAACGGATACATGTACGGAAGGGTCCCCATCGTGAATACAAGACCGAGGATTTTGCTACTTCTGATGGGCTCCCTAACATGCTGGACCCAGCCATTGAGGTGGATGCAAGACATCCTTTTTTTATCTCCCGCAATGGCCCTGGGTGTATGCAGCAATCAGTTAACATATGGCAGGTTGAAATTTTCGCACATGAATTTGGACCTGTAGGTTGTACTGGAGGCAATATCGATCCCAGCAATTTGCTTTTGGGTTTCACATTGAGTAACTCGGGGCGGCCGATGTATACAACTCAATGGCAGATGGATAGATGGGATCACTAATCATAATGTATCTTCAAGGTCCCTGACCTCATCTTGATCAGCAGTAATCGCAGTATGGCCATTACGAATGTATATGGTACAGCCACCGCCACGTTTGCGTGAACGATCTTTGCGGAACTGGTGATAGCCTAAGTAGTTAATCTGAGAGTCACAAATTTCTGATGTGCACCACGTTTCAGTAATAAAAGCAATATCATGGGATTTCACAAGCATAAGTGTTGAAAATGGATCCAATTTAGGTACACTACAGAGGGAATGTTATTAATGACAGATTTGAAAGCGACTGTTAGATTGGAATAAAAGTGAGGGGCGAAGTTGGATTTTTCATCACTGTATCTAAAAACGGTTTGTTGTGAGGCAGTGAGTTCTGCATTCTACTGCGATGAATGAAGTAGCTACTCCAATAACTGGATCGTACTCTGGCTCATCATAGCACGTGGTGACAGCTCGATTGGTGGAGGAGGACGTTGGTGAATAGGATCGTTTAATAATGACATGCATTTGTAGTATACGGAGGTGGGGGACACTAAAGTCCCAAAACATATTTTCGGTCGCCTTATACTGTTCCCGGTTCAATAATGAAGAGCGTAGTGGTAAATGGGTTATGAATTGTGGCAGCTAGAAGTTGTGACATTTTGTGTGTGAGTTCGTAAGCTATACCGTCATTCTGCTGCTTATTTCGGCGTGGCACCTATAGGATTTTTGTCCGTCTAAAGCCGGGGGAGTTGGAGTCATACTCCAGGATGTTACGGGTAAATGTTGGATCGGCTTCCTGCTGCTTATTTTGCTACCGGTTTCGGTGTTCCATGCAAAAGCCCGCAGTCATGCACGTTGTCTCCGCTGTTCCACTTGTATATCTCTACAATCTTCTAGTAGTCGCTTCTGAGTTGATGAGCCTCGAGTGTTACTGGAGGAGGTTCTGATCAAGTGCTTCTCGCTGCAATTCGCTTAATCCTCGGTCCGATTTAGATTGTTTTTGATGCTGAAAGTATAACGATCTGATTTTTAGTTGTGAGCTCGACTGGTCGCAGCTACAGCTACTGCCTAATTTTGTGCAGGTTCCTGATTGGTAGAGGGAGCATAGGAGGTGGATGTGTAGTCTGCAAGTGTCGCAAGACTCAGTGCATTGTCAGCTTGGCTGGAGCTGATAGAGGGGTGCATCAATACTGCTGTTTTGAATCCTCTCAGGAGGACGATGAGCACTGCAACGCAAGTCATCGCTTATTCTGGATGACTCTGTTGACTTGTCAAGTCGACATTACTTATCCCTGCATCATCACTCGTTCTACTAGTAGGAACATGGGGAGTTCGGGGGTTGGATGCCTATACATCTGGGTTAGTCGCCTTTGAAGAGGTGTTTGATCGTTTTTAATCATAATGTTTTGGAAGTTCGTTTTTGCAACAATTCGTCTTTTATTGCGTACGGATTGTGATACACTTGTGTCGTCAGCAACCTTCAAGAGTATTGCGCACTATGTCATGTTTTCCTTCTTTGCAATCTCAGGCATTGACAGGCGATTTCGTCCATATTACAGGATGTTAGAAGGGCATCTTTAACTCTGTCGATATTTACCTTATCGGGTGCGTTGAAAATAATGACATTTTGCAATCCACGTAGGCGTTCTTGAGTCTTGGATGTGATTGAAGATAGTAGAACCATCCCGTCGACCTGTTTCGAGAGACTGAGTTGACACTGTCCTCTACTAAAGGGCATCAGCAGTACGCCGGTACGCAGTACCAACGCTTCGCTGCCGCGCAACCACCACCGATCGCATGTGGGCCAAGGATTCTGCGAGGGTCGCAATGCGCCTACGCGCGCTCGATCCCGCGCCGTCAGATTACAATACAAGCTCCTTAGCTTTGGGCTACGGGTATTTTTTGATGCTTTCAGCTCTGGCGTGGTTTACCGAAACGCACTGGTCTTAGAATATCGTATTACCTAACCTTCTGTTCACATTGTGTCATTTCAGCTTACTACTCCATAGTGCAGCACGGAACAGTATCGCGTCTGGCTTTCCGAATATAGTTTGAAAAGTGACTCAGAATTGGGCACATTAATTTCTCTTTCAAATGAAGCCTACTCGTTTAGCATCTGAACTTGATTTCACCGTTGTTTCACATTTAACATAGGCCGTGAAAAATCGGTACGACGGAACCTTGGGGAGCATGGACTTGATATTTCACAAGGAGCGCCTCTCGTATCGACCACAGAGCAGAGAGTTAATAGTTAAAAGCTCCGCAAGAAGCTGTGCATAACAACCACCCCTCCCACACAAGCATCATCGAAGACCTGAATCTGTGCATTTCCCTCTTTTTCCTCTCCGCATCAAGAAACCTGGTCTGCTCACCTATCAGCCTTATCAAGAGATCTTTATCATTCCTTTTTCTACACTCCTCTTGTTATCCGGACAATCACAATCCCTATAAAACTGTGCCAAATCTTCCGTACGTTCTCTCTATAGATGGTGGTAGTGGGCATCTCACAATGTGGGGTTATGCACCCCTCATGCTCTCTCTGGGTGTCTTTGGGTTTCTCAGCTATGTCCGCTTCTAATCCGTCCGTTGACAGTGATGAGCTCTTCTCGAATAAGACCTGCACCACGTTACCGCTGGGACTGAAATTTTGCTGTGTATGTTTACCCGAACTACTCCATGATCATGCGGATCACATTGTGTCCTCATTTAAAGTACATTAGTGGGATGGCGTTTCGTGGCGATCCCATTGCATGTCTACTGTGCGGCTCGCAATCAGATATCGTAGATGTTGAGCATCGAATCCGTTTCACTGAGTGCTTACCGTAATGCGAATTTGACGGCCTATCACTCGCTTTCAGGAGCAACGAAATTGGAATTCTCCGGATCTCTGTAATCCATCAGCCCCTCAAAACACCGCATCCGGACGAGATACTCGTCATTGATGTCCTGACAATATCGTTGTTACCACAAGAAATCCAAGCAGGTTGTTTAAACAGTGCAAAGAGGATTTACCGAGTCTTACTGCAGAGACGTACGTTCTAACACTCGCTAGGGAGACGCGGCAACTTTTATCGGTTTCTTTTACAATTGAACCTTAAAACCGCTCATCCGTATGACCTGCGTACGCCATATTCGGCAGTATAACGCTTACGCAAGCCAATCAAATACCATATACGTGGCGCATGAATAGAACGGTTAGATGGGCAAAGTTGGTCACCATGCTTGGCTCGGCGCATTCAGGTGTGCTGTTTAAAAAAAGTTAACTTTCCATGTTAACTGGCAGTGCTACGAGGCGGAGATCGGGAGACTGTGCGTTCTCATTTCGACAAGCGCGCGCACATAGAAACGGGTAATTTCGATTTCCAGATCAGTGATTCTAGCTATTGGACCGAACTCTGAGAACTCACTGCTTGTCATTGTCGGATCGTGGTTTGGGAGATTTGGTCCATAGGTCATTCGATCTATTGGAAGAAACAGGGTCCCATCATTATACGCATATCAACAAAAATGTTGTCTGAAGCTCAGGGACATCTGCCAGATAAAATATCCCACTGAGGAAAGACAAACACAAGCCACGGCAAGACGATGAGGTGTTTCTTTGCGGAAGCTTTATGATATGCCATTTCACTCTAAACTGGGCGTTTTCCAAATAAAATGACGCCGTTTATTTTTTTAAGTATATCATCAGCAGCTTATTAACAACGACGCTAAAGACAATCGGTTGATGAGGAGTGTTACGCCCCCCTCTTCGTTACGCCACGAACTGGTATCAACAACTCTCCTAGTCGGCCGAATGACAGTGTCTCAACTATATCCACACACGGAAACGCAACCGTCGAAATTCGCACAACCCGTGTGGCTTAGGCGCGACACGGTTACTACGCGCAAGTTGAACGGGCTCCTAGCCAAAAGGGTGCCCCACTACTGCTTTCGTCAAGTCCGCATCATATTGAAGACGTGCTCCGTGCACTCCTGCTGCATTACCATTCCCACGATCTCTTGATTGACGGCACCTAGATTTTTTGACCAGGCGTCGAGGTGTTCATCGACGCTTTCACCTAAGAAAACAAGTTTTCAGCTGATGGGACTAGCTCAGCATCCTCCTTTAGATTGTTCGACGTTGTCTATGAACTGCTATGCACTGTTCCTTTCCACGGGCTCTGCGATGAAACTTGAGAAATTTACACCATTGCAGATGCCATCGTGGATGATCTTTGAGTTAACGATGCGTTGGTTATTCATTGCCACAATCAGCGTCACCATGCGGCTTTTGGCTGTGAGGAAAAATGACGCGCGCGTTCCTCTTCTTGAGCAAATCTGTGTCCGTCGCAGATGAATGTTAAACCCATTATCGGGAATCTGACTTTCCAATAATCGATCAGGTACACATGTAATACACGAAGGTCGATAGGGAGACGGGATAACGGAGTCGCCGCCGAAAATCCACCTGTAATAGGTGCACAGAAGCGCATGCTTAGCTTGAACGATGGTCACATTCAAGAGAAGGACTTGCTCTGGCGCTTACTTCTTGATAAATTCGGATCGCATTAGCCCAGTGGTTCTCAACCTGGGGGTAATTACCCCCAAGAAGGTAAAATGGAATTTTGCAGGGGGTGGGGTAAATATAAGTACGAGGATTGGGTCATCGATCTGTCGTCAAACAAAATTAATGCCAAAATCATCTATATCAAAACCATTAACTAACAAACTAATCCCTATTGATTAGCCATCAGTGACTAATCCTTAGTGAGTGGTCAGTGGACTAGAGCATTTCCGGTAATAAATTTTTTTTACCTGAAATAGGAATACAAGCCTGCAAAGCAGTCTCTACCGGTTCAGTCGTCGATCGTTGTTCTTTTGAGTAAGGAGGTCGTTCGCCGGGTCGAATTACAGAATTGAGTGAACACTAACGTAAACAAAAAATAATAGTAAAACAGCAGTACCGACATCTCGCTGCGGCGCAACCACCACCATTCGCGTCTGTGCTAGAATACTACGATGGTCGCCCAGTCTCCTACGCAGGCTGGAATCCGCGCCTCGAATTACAAAGCAATATTGTGCTCCTTAAGACCACGGGCTGAAGAGGTAAAGTAGCGAACAAATGTTTACAAGGTAGAAGGGACAAATCTGGAGATTAGTGTTCAACACATATCGATACAGGGTGTCATTCAGGTAGGAATTGGAAGGCATAGTGGAAACAAATGAGAAGCCACTGAAATATGTGCATGCTTGATCAGGGATCACACGCCAAAGCAAGGAACCGAATGTACTTGGAGCACGACTTACTATGTGCACTAGTCGAAACCCACCAGTGTGCCATGAATTGTTGTAACTAAGCAATAGCAACCGTCTTATTAACGTACGTAACCTCTTGATTAAATAAAAAGTTCCTCAAAAACACTTGTTTTCGTTATTTGAGTAATAGAAAGTAATCAAAATTAGTATTTCTTTCTTTTCATTTTCCTTTGCAAGAAATGCAATGGTTAATAGGTTATTACTTTTTAAACTAAAATGTTTTTGGGGGTTATTGTTCATAATGGACCCGCTTTGTGGGTAACAGCCTCAAAATGGTTGAGGACCTGTGCATTAGCCTGACCGCGATGTGATCGGAACATCTTACTACCTGCTAACTCCTGCAGGACACGTTTTCTAATTGATGATGATGAACGTCAACAGCAGCAGCTGTTGCTGTCCCACTTGTTTCGACTTCTGATGGGAACGAAGAAACGCTTATCATCGATAGTACCGCATGCGCAGAGTAGTTGATTGAATTCGGATCGACGCGGCCCAAGAGACCTGAACGCATGACTTGTGTACACACGAGCGGGAACTGGAGATGAACCGCGTACCATCGCACCGAGACCCAGAGAAGAGCTCGTTTATTGACCCAGCCAAAGGCAAACATGCCTTATACACTATACTTATAGCTCACTTGTATGGTAGTGTGATGTAAGACTACAGACGAAAACGGATGTTGATAAAAAGATATGAATTGCTACGTAGTGGTAATGTCCTGAGGATAACTCATTTGAGGTCTCTGTGGTAGATACAAGAGTGTTACTGGGGTGAATTCAGGTAAGATCTTCGTGGTTTGCCTCGACACATAGCAACGGCCTTTAAGGAGAGCTCAGCTGTGTAGTTCGAGTCACCTTACAGTGACATTATTGCTGAGGTGAGCTCAAACCAGCTCTGCGCGTTTTACAAAGGTTTACGAGCTCCACAGGCTGTGCGACTAGAATGAGTTCGGCTCAGCTGCCAGAGCCTATGGACTGGCTATTCGATGTGTTGCGGCACAAGTCACAATCGTATTTACGACTTTCATGGCATGTTGACTGCACTCCGACTGATAAAAGTGCTTCCCTCAGGTTGACTATGACCCCGGAATGTACAAAGTGCTTGCATATTATAATGTCCCTTAACGAGTGTGGGTGAACGGATGAATTGGGGATTATGAAGGGAGATATTTATTTTTTGTTCTATAATATAAGGGTTACATGCTAATTAGCGAGAAGGGTTTTTAATAGAATATAGTATGAAATCTGAATTTAGCATGATTACGAAGGGAATAACCTCACTGGTAAACAATAATTCCACTGCAGACGGGATCATTTGTTCGGATCAAAAATAGAAGTACCGTAAAGTGCCACCCAACTCTGTCTGTACCGCTGAGGATCACGCATGCATGTGGCCCTGGCACATATCGATTGGAAAATGGCTTGATAGTCGATGTCCGTCGGTTTTACAGAGCAACTAGACCGTCCTCGCAGTCTAGCCAAGATACGTGTGAAACTCAGGTACGGCCTAATCCACCCTCCCGTGAGTTAGGAAGATCCAGTCGTACACCGAAGCAAGTTGATCGATAACAACTTGCATGAAGCAAGTTTTCCGACCCTAGACTTATCCTGATTGGCTGAACTTCGCTCAACGCTGATCGATCGATTAGAGGAATTCTTAATGAGCGCCTTTTCCGTTCTGGGCAGTGTACGTTCTACGTGCCTCCTACAATATATTGATGTTACATCTACGTTCTTCTGACACAGCAGTCGCGACTCTTCTCTTCCATCATAAAACCGACACTAGAATACAGCTCACCTGCCAGCTGTCCAATCGAACAAGTCGAACACGTCGGTACCAGCCTCATTCCAAGTTTACGAGTATTACCGTACGAAGATCGGTGCGAGAAACTAGAGCTCTAACATCAGGTGCCCGTCGATCCTGTCATGAGCTACTCCATTTTACATCTCGGTGACTTCCCCATGTTCAGGCCGCTACTTCACTTGTGAAGGCCATGCAACACACGCGGACACTGGTACAAGCTTTTAGTGCCGGATATAAAACGACTATCCCACCTCCTGTGCTTCGAACGGAGAGTGATGAATATGTGGAACAGTCTATCAGAACAACTAGAGGACGTCAAATCTGTGCAGCAGCACAAGACGTCGTTATATTTACATTTCACCGTCAC